CGGAGTAGGGCCTGCAGGCCCTCGTTTTTCAGTTTTCAGGCTGAAACGACCGGGGCCTGTAGCTCCTAAGTTTTAGGCTTTAAGGCTGAATGTCCAGGACGGGTCCTACAGGGCCCGTGTGGCTACGCAGTCTGCCACATGTAGTGAAGGCATCAGGCTGTCGAGCCCAAGGCCCCAGGTTCGATCCCTTGCAGGGTTCGTCAAATTGATAGTACGAACTGTGCCTCAATTCTACACAACAGTTCGACCTTCTTTATTTCACCAGACTTGTTCGACTTTCTTCATTCTTTTTTTTTGTTTTCCCTCTCTCACAAAAACCACTCCCAGCCCCTTCTATTCTAGGGGGCATCAGTCCGGCTGGTTATCACCGGCAGGCAAAGTTTTTGAAACAATTTGAAACAAGCAGAGGGGGGGATCGGACAGAAAAAGAGAGACAGCCTACACTTGTGGCTCGAGCCGCCTATTCAAGGGGGGGTTGCTAAAGCGCCATCCATTCCCGGCCCATTCGCCTTTCCTTGTTCTTTTTTTTTTTTTTTTTTTTTTGGCACCGGGGGTGCCGGGAACTTGTGTGGACCTTGCTGGCCCAGCTGCCTGCTTGGGAACTCAGACAACGAGAACCGGGCTGGGCAGCTTGGCTGAGAATATTGTAACAAGTACTAACAACGTCAAACAAGGCAAAAATCATGGGCGGGACGAGTTTAAGACGCCAACGGGTGATTTTGCGCTGGGTCACCCTCCTTGCCAGATGGCTGAATGGCACACACATAGGACTGTTGATTAACAGATCAAGAATTCAAATCCTGTTGAATTGAATGATGCTAAGGCTACCCCCAACCCCTCTTAGGAAGAAGATAGAATAATCAATCATCATGTTAAGGCTACTGCGGTAGTACTGCCCCTTCCGAATTGAAAAGGAAAAAACAAAAGAGAGACAGACTTAAACTACAACAAACTAAAGTTAAGCAGTCATTTGAAAAGAAAAGAAAAAAGAAAAAACTTAGATGTAGCGTATTTGAGAAGAACAGACAGAAGGGAGCTTCACATAACACATACAGGACTCCCAAAACAAAAACAAAAAAAAACAAAAAAAAAACATACAGGACTCAGCAGTTGAAACTTCAAAACAAGAAAGAGAACGGTGCTTCACATAGAACATTGAGAAATTGAGAACTGATTGTTTGAAGAAAAAAAAAAGGAGAAGCAGTTCTCAATGTTTCACTGTTTCACATAGTTTCCTTTTTTTTCTTTTTTTTCCCCTCCAAACAATCAGTCCTCAATGTTCTATGCGAAGCACCGTCGGAGTTGGTCGGACGAATAGTATCAGGCATCCACTATGAACATTTCAAATAGAAGATAGAGAACGGAGGGAGGGAATTATCCGTCGGACAAATAGTATCAGGCATGTCTGTGAAAACCTATAATTTTCCATGGTGGGGTAGCCCCTAACACAGCAGCAATATTTGAGCTCTTGATCTGTTGAACGATGGCTGCAGCAACTTTCATGTTTCTGGTACTTTCTACACCCAAGTAGGTGCTCTGGCAAACCTGCCAGCTGGAATTAAAAAAA